GGAGGAGGAGGAGGAGGAGGAGGAGGAGGAGGAGGAGGAGGAATAGGAGGAGGAGGAGGAGGAGGAGGAGGAGGAGGAGGAGGAGGAGGAGGAGGAGCAGGGGACTGCGAGGACTGCGATCGAAACGAGACGCCGATCCGAGGAGGGTGGTGGTGGTGGTGGTGGTGGTGGTGGTGGTGGTGGTGGTGGCCTGGGGAGGCATCGGGTGGGGCCGCGGGCACAGCCCCTTTAGCAGCGCCTCCCGTTCAGGGATGGCTGGGGTACAGCCCACCGCCTGTCTCGGGGATCCAGCAACCGCAGCGTCACGGCGCAACTCGGTCCAAGAGACCTCCGGGGGCGACCCCCCCTGGGACCTCTCCGCCTCCACCACGCAGAGCACAGGAGGGCCAGCTGCACCCTCCTCCCTTTCCCGCGGAGCGGGCTTTCCCGGAAGAGGAGAAGGCTGCAGCTGGACGCCCCTCCAGGGACCAGGTGGGAGATGGGCCGCTCCCAGGGGGGACCCGGCTGCCTCAAGTGCCGGGAGGACACCAGAAACGCGGAGTGGGGATGGGCAGTGTGAGAGCTCTCGGCTCACCTCCACCGGGGTCCCGCCCGTCCGCACCAACCCTGATGCCACCGCAGTGCCCAGCTACGAGGCGTTGAGAGAAGGCCGGAGGAGACCCTCCCCGGGGTGCGGCACCCCCGCCCCCACCCCTGCTCGGCTGAGGGGCGCGGCCCAGCCTGCGGGTAGAGGCAGGGGGGTGGAGGAAACGCCCCTCGGCGTGGGCGGGCGGCGCGCTCAGGGGCGCGCGCCCGAAGGACTCGCCCTGGGACCCGACGGCCACCACCACGAACACCGCCAGGGTCGTCGAAGGCTTAACGACTTCTGCCGTCCTTCAACTCGCGCTGGAGCGGCCGCGAATTGCTCCAACTTCCCCTGGAGATCTCTGGATCTACCTGGATCTACCCCGATTTACTTGGATGTACCTCGATTTGTCTGAATATACCTGGATTTACCTGGCCAGATCCCCATAAGTCGATCGGCGAAAAGTCGACCAGCTCTTGGGGACAGGGGCTTACATCTGCTTTAGAGTACCAAGTGGGACCTGCTCTAGAACACGAACATACCGTAGACAGCTCTACCCTTTCTTCGACCCCGCACCGCGCCGAACGCAGCGGCCACGTCGTCCATAGACGCATCCACCCCGAAGGTGTACATGGATGTCACGGCAACCGCTGTGTCCACAGACACTCTTGGCTAGGACGCGAGAGCGGTATTTGGCATCGGCCCTAGATGTTGTTCTTCTTGCCATCGGGGGAAGCCGCCGACGGCGGCGGCGGCGGCGGCGGCGCGGCGAGCGCCGTCGCGGCCATGCCGACGAGGGCCTGCCTGATCCCGTCCAGCGCGGCTCGCCAGACCTCCGAGGCCTCCACCACGGCCAGCCGCGCCTCTCTGCTGGGCAGACGTCCCCCGCGGGGGCCCAGGAGATCGCGCCGCGGCTTACCGCCCCCGCAGGGGGTCGGCGTCGCGTCGCCGCGGTGCCGAGCCCGCTCCGCTCGCTGTGGTCTCCCGGCTCTGGGCGGCATGGGCGCGGCAGGCCTTTTCACCGCCTCCAGCTCCGCCTCGGCGCCGTCGCCGTCGTCGCCGCGCCCAGGGTGGCCCACGGCATCGCGTCCTCCACCCTCAGGGTCGTGGCGTCCAGGTGGCCGCGGAACACGCTTGATGTCATCTGGGGCGGCGCCGTCGTCGTCGCCAGAGATCTCATCGTCATGGTCGCACTCGTGGTCGTGGTCGTGGTCGCGACCGAACTGTACGACTTGCGGTCGCGGTGTGGCAAGGGCTGCACGCGTGCCGGCCTCAGGGCTGTAATGCCGAGCGTGTGTCGCCGACCTCAGGGCTGTAAGGAGGAGGAGGAGGAGGAGGAGGAGGAGGAGGAGGAGGAGGGAGGAGGGGGAGGAGGAGGAGAGAGGAGGTGGAGGAGGAGGAGGAGGAGGAGGAGGAGAGGAGGAGGAGGAGGAGGAAGAGGAGGAGGAGGAGGAGGAGGAGGGAGAGGCAGGGAGGAGGAGGGAAGAAGAGGGGAGGAGGAGGAGGAGGAGGAGGAGGAGGAGGAGGAAGGGGAGGAGGAGGAGGAGGAGGAGGAGGAGGAGGAGGAGGCGGAGGAGGATCGAGCGCACCGGCGCAGCAGTGCTGCCTCGGAGGAGCAACAGGAGGAGCAGCAGCCCCAGACGTCTGCTGCCTCGTGTTTTATATTTTTTGTGTGTCCTGTGCGGGACCCCCTCGAAGCCTCGATTCCCCCAGGCCCCCCCCAGGGCCAGCGTTCCATCCCCACTGACCTTCCGACAGTTCCGCGGCCCGGCGAGGGCCCCCAGAGGCCGAGACTCACCCGAACACCTCCCGTCGTGAGCTCTCCGCGGTGCGAGGGCGCTGAGGGAGCAGCAGCAGCCGCCGCCCGAGGAGCAGCGGCAGCGGCAGCGGCAGCAGCAGGAGCTGAGCGCCCCCGGCGGGAGCCTCTTGAAGCGGCAGCCCTTGCGGGCGCGCTGCCTGCCTGCGGGGGCTGGGAGCAGCCCCCCCCCCCGCCTGTCTGGCCCGCTGCGGGAAGAGGGCGGGGAGTGGGCAGGGCCTCCTCCTCGTCCACCTCCCCCTCCTCCTGTTCTTCCTTCTCTCTTTGCCTCCCTGTTCTCCTCCTTCTCCTCCTCCTCCTTCTGCTCCTCCTCCTCTTCTTCCTCCTCCTCCTCCTCCTCCTCCTCCCACTCCTCGTCCTCCACCTCCTCCTGGTCGTTTTCCCCCCTCTCCTCCCTCCTCCACCTCCTCCTCCTCCTGCTTTTTGTCCTCTTGCCCCCCGCTCCTCCTCGTCCTCATGCTGCCCTCTTCGTCCTCCTCTTCGTCCTCCTCGTCCTCGTCGTCGTCGTCCTCCTCCTCTATCCATTACCCTTATACATACCAGACGGGCTTGTAGGGCGGGCTGGGCGTTTCGCCTGAGGCGTCCACCCTATTCGTGATCCACAAGCCTTCAACAGTCAGACGGATTGAGGGGTGATGGCTTTCGAGATGGGGCTCTCGCCTCAGCACCGCGCGCATTCGTCTAAAGTGTACAACAGTTGCAATGATGGAAGGGAGATCATTTTCAAAGTGCAGTTCTCGTCGTTCCGCCTCGCCCATTCGACTCAAAATATCTGCCACAATTGCAAACATGAATTCGGGGTCGCTCTCAGAATGGAGCTCTCGTCTAAGCGCCGTGCGCTTTCGTCTTGGGAGCTTGCAACACTTACAAAGAAAGAGGGGGGCTCGTTTGCAACATGGACTTCCCGCCTTAGCGCCGCGCGCACCCGTCTCAAGGCTTGCAGCATCTGCAAGGGTGGAGGGCGGTTCCTTTTCAAAATGGAGCTCCCGCCCTAGGCGCCGCGCGCGCTCGTCTTACACGTTTGCAGTATCTGCACGGGGTGGAGGGAGGTTCCTTTTCAAACCAGGGCTTTCGCTGGAGACCTCCTGAAACGGAGAGCCGGTAACTAGAGAAGATGTATCAGCTGCACGGATGGAGGGCGCTTCTCGCTCCAGAGCTCTCCGTGCCTACGTCCAGGTGTATGGACGTGTGCAGCACTTTCACATCTGGGGCGGCCCGTTCTCAACAAGTCGATCTCGTTGATCCTGCCATCCTGCAGGATGTGTGCCAAATAAGAATGTGCAAGGCGATTCTTTGCTCAAGCCGTGCCCTCGCGTCAATGGCATGCCAATGGGGTGTTGATATTTCAACAAGGCGCCTCTTGCTGTAAAACTGACCTGTCGGAACTTCCGAGGAGGGGGTTGGGACGGGAGGGGGTGTTCCAGCATCGTTAATGCATATTCGGTTTGCTCTGGTCCTTCTCCTCTTCCTCCTCCTCCTCCTCCTCCTCCTCCTCCTCCTCCTCCTCCTCCCCCTCCCCCGACTTCTCCCCCTCCTCCGACTTCTCCTCCTCGTCCTCCTCCTCTCCTCATCCTCCTCTTTCTCGTCGTGGCCTCCTGGCCCTCCTCCCCTTTTTCCTCGTTTGTCTGATCCTTCTCTTCGTCCTCGTCGTTTTCCCCGTTTTTTCTTCCTCCGTACATCCCCCCTACGAGTAGGAATTCGAATGGGGGCGAACGGATGGAGAAGGGTTGGAGGGTAAGGGGAATGGGACGGGGGGAGGAGGGGAATTGGGGCGATGAGGACGATATGTGGGAAGAAGGCGGGGGTGGTGTTTTGCTGTCTCCCCCAGCGGACCGATGGCGACGGGAATTAACAACTGACGAGGCGTAGGTCGCAATGCATCACACCAGGCGCAAATCATGCCATACGAAGTCTGGTGGTGCTGGTTGGGCGCCAAGGGCAACGAATACAAGTTTTGTCTGTTTTCCCCACCCAGACGTGCACGACTTGTTCCAAATGGTTCTGGCACAGCAGGGCGGATGGCCACGAGGAAACGAGGGAGATGAGGAGGAAACCGAAGCGGAGAAGGAGGATGAAGAAGAGGGGGGAGGAGGAGGATATGTGCTCCTCTGCGAGCCAGTAGGCAAGACCGAAGAGGCCAATGGGTTCGCCAGAGCTGGGACCGCGCTCTGGCGTGCGGCCCGTCTCGCCTCGACGTGGGACAACACTGCAAAGGGCCCAGGCGCCTGCACCCAGCCCTCCAGCCCCTGAGTTGGCGTTGCGACTTCGGTGGGGGGAGGGGAGGTTGCACCATGCCAGCACATTCGCCGGCCCAACAGGCCAGAGGCGTGCTAAGATCTCGGGTAACTGGTTAACAATATTTCTAGTTCGCGCGCGCGCGGGGCGGCCCCTCGGGGTCCCCTGGCGAAGAGTACCCTGGGCAAGTCCCGGGAGGAGACACTGGACCAGGCCATTTATCGATACCCCTCACGAGGATCGTGGCCACCGAAGGGGGGGGCGCAATCGACTGCCCCCCCCCGCCCCGAGAGGCCCACAAGAGCCCCCCAAGAGGCCCAGGGGGCCCCCCAAGACGCCGCCAAGGAGCCCCAAGAGACCCCCAAGAGGTCCCCAAGAGGCCCCTCAGAGGCCCTAGAGAAGGTTCCAGGGCCGGCGGAATGAGCGAAACGATTAAATAATCATACCACCCCTCTCCGAGGACTGCGAGACGCGCTCATCCTCGTTTCTGTAGTGGGGGTGGAAACCAGCCAATAGGAGCCACAAAAAACACAAAGAAATGTCACACAAAGGGTTTTGGCACCACCAACGGTGCAACGCATGTGCACCCATGTCGCTGGACTCCCGGCGATCCGACCCGGGGTTGGCGGCGACAAGATCCCAAGCTCCGCTACCAACATTACATGGTGGCTTGGCACAGCCAAACCACCATGCAACGTCAGTTTGTTCATCCGTTGACACCAACACGCGTCGCGGTAGCGGAACGCAGTAGCGCGCGAGGGCAGGCAGGGCCGGCGATGCGGCTGGCCAGCTGCCAGCGCGATTGCGGCAAAAGTGCCGAAGTCCACGTGGGATCGTTTTGGGCGTGTTATCCGGCGCAGCTGCATCGCATTGCCAGGCGCCGCGGCCTTGCGTTTGTAGCGCCAGGCCCCGCGCGCTCCTCGATGCGGGAAAACAAGCTCAACGCAAAGGAATCGCGCGTGCTCTTGTGGGGCCGGCGAAAACGACCGCACGCAAAGGAAATTCCCTTGCGCGCCGCCCGCGCTGGCAACGTAACCAGACCGTGCGCAAAGGAATTGCGCGAGACTTCGTGGCGCACAAAGGAATTACAGCACCGCCCTTTGGGTTGCGCTTTTCGCGCGCGGTGACAGCTCCGAGCTGGAAAGGAACAGGGGGCAGGGCAAGGCAAAGCAGGGGAAGAGGAGAAGGCAGAGGAGGGCGAGAAAGAAACGATAGAAGCAGCGGAAGGAATCCAGGGTGCGCGCAAGCGAAGCTAACAGTGCGCGCCGAGACAGTTGTTCGTTCGTTCGGTTGGCCGCGCGGCATGCGAATAGGAAAAAGAATTGACTGCTGCCGATGGAAGGGGCTTTTTGGGAAGGAGACTCGCGCTCTCTTCCCAGCCCCCTTTCCCGCGCCCCGTTGCGAGCGAGCGACGACATGTTCTGGCGCGCGGGCAGAAGGCTGCCAATTGCTGGTGAGCGGCCTTTCCACCCGTCGCGCGTTCCAAACAAATCGGGCCAGCTAAACGCACCTGCCGCGCAAACCGCCAGCTCCAAACGCCGACGCCACCCCGATCCCCGCATCCGCGCCAGGCGCCCTACAAACGACGCCCCCTTTTTCCCGGCGAAAAACCAATGAAACACACGCATATATATATATATGTATATGTATATATATATATATATATATATATATATATTATATATATATATATGGATATTCCCTCCCTTCTGAACTGAAAGACGGGGCAGAATGGTCTGAGCCCCGGGCGGCTTCTTGCCGCGCCTTCCTGTCCGAATTTACGCCCGCGTCTTGATTTGCGCGCGCAAAATGCGGTGCAACTATTGAGGATGCATTCTCTATCTTGGCGTGAAACAGCCGCGCGCGCAAACCCGAGCACGGCCGAAATCGGGCACGCCGCGCCGCGTCGGGCTAGAACCCGTGCGTCCTATCATGGGAAGGGTGCAAGGGTCTCGCCCGGCACCTCGCACCGTCGCCATCCTGCGTTTCCCCGGCGATGCCAGCCTGAGGACTTGAGGACCTTAACCCAAGTCCGAGCTGAAACCCATCCAACTTTTCTGTCAGGAAAACTCGCAAAACCCTTGCTAACGCGCGGCCGGCAAACAACCACCAATGGACATGCACGCTGGCGCCTTGCCAGATCGAGCCAGAAGGTCGAGGAACAAGAAGGCTTAGTCGGCCAAGGAGTCCGCGTGGAGGTTGGAGGTCATCGAGGAACTCTTGGAACCTTTGGGGAGGGCTGTGACTAACCTGAAACCAATTATCTGTCTGTTCACACAGCAGGGCCCCCCGACGCATTTTCGTATAGCGGTGTTTCCTGTGCGCTTGATGTTGAGTCGACGCGTTGCACGACTTGGTGCTGCGCCCAGCAGAGCGAGGTGGAATGGCCATAGCCTGGTGCTCCGCTGCTCGCGCAGTCAGCTGCAGCACGCCTCATGCGGGTTTTCTGGCATAGGCAACGACGTGACCTGCAGCGCCCAAGAAGACTAGCAAATCTGCCGCTCGGGAAAGTTCCTGGCTGGTGTGTCGCATGCAACAGCCGCCCACGCAATCGTGCAATTTCAAGGAAACTTAAAGAACCTCAATCCATTCATGGCTGTTCCAAACGGGTCTTGGGCTCGTCACTGGGGAGGGCCATCTTTGCCCCGGGGTCGTCCCACTTGAGCTCGTCCTGGAAGCAGCGATCCCCACTCTCGTTGGCCTCCATGAACCACTCGGGGCGGTCTCCACCGGCGCCCCCTCGAAGCTGGGCAGATTCTGGGTGATCGCATTCCCGCGCTCGATGCCCGACGTTGCCGGGTCTGGCGCATGGCGGGCGCTCGCCGTCGCTCTCGTAGCTTGCTGCCCTAGCTCTGCCTCTCGTCCAGGCGCCTCCGCAACAACGAACTAACGACATGCACTTTTCCCCGGGGGGGGGGGTTGGGGCCGGAGCGAAGAAGCTCAATTCACGGGTCAACGCTGGCCCAGGGTCCGTCGAGCGAGGGGGCGAGCCCCGCAATAGCTCTTTCGCGGTGTCTTTTGGCGCCCCGATAGGGAAGCTGGGGAAGCGCAGGGGGAGAGCTGAACCTGCGGTGCAACGCGCGATTGTGATCGTCGAGCGAGGTGGGGGCCGATGTGGATTGCCATCCAATTCGGCCCAACGGCTGGCGCATGCTCTGGATGGGCCCGCGTGGCTCTTCCCAATGAGCCCTTCTCCAGGAGGCGCAACATTCCACATCTGGCACGCGCGCGCATCTTGACGTCTCAACACGCGCGAGCAACGACAATATCAAAGCGCAGAAATGACAACGCGGGAGAGGGCAGGAAACGACAGGGGACTCAATATAACGACGAGACATGACGAAAAGAGGCACAACGACAAGAGAACGGCGGGATCGAGACACAGACACCCGTGTCAACCCCCATCGCGGATCGTCACCTTCACCTCAACCACGGGAGCCTGTAAAACCAACGCCATCGGGAAGCTCGGCACGGTCAGCGGCACCATGAAAAACCACGATGCGCAGCTTCACGGGGAAGACCGGCGCAACCATACTCATCTTCTCCAGCTCGTCCAGAACATCTGCACGATCGTCATCATCGAGAGTATGGGCACCAACTGATTTACCAAGATCGGCGCGACCTTCACCAAGCAAGTCGCGATGACCATCGACATAAAAACCGACACCCCGCGCGAGGGTCGGCACAATCGTGTCTCCACATTGTGTTTGGCATGAACACCATTGCCAACAACAAACTCCACCATGAAAATCAAAACAGCCAGCTTCATCAAGAAGATCGACACGACCAAGTGCATCGCGCAGATCAGGATGCACGCTATCATCGAGCAAGTCGGCGTGACCGTATTACTCCGGCAAACAAGTCTGCACGTTCCGCTGCATCATACATAGACACACGGGCAATTTCACCAGATTCACCAGGAGGGTCGGCACCACAAGCGTCAAGCATATCGGAATGGCCACCGGCATGAAGATCGGCACGAACACCTTCAGTGTGAAACAAGCGCAGCCGTGTCCACCGTGGTGATCACCACGGGCAATTCCAACAACACCCACTCCTCCGTTAGGGCTGGCGCGGCCACCTTCACCAGGGAGCTCGGCAAAACCAGCTGCAACACGTAGGTCAGGATGCGCAGGGCCGTGGGGAAGATCATCACGACCAGCTCCACAAAGAGGATCGACAGAAATGGCGTCGGGATGAGGATCGGCACGGCCGTCGCCACCCGGAAGAACACATCGCCAGGTGAAACGCAAAAGCCTCAGAATTGAACAGAAACTGCAGAACCAATGGGAATGCCAATGCTTTGGCAAGCCATGCCTTCACCTCTGCCGCATGAGGCTGTTGACGTGGCGCCTTGGGTGGCCGGCTGGGTGTGGACCAAGGATAGCCTGAACTTGCATGCCGACGTTCCGGGTCTCGCCGTTTTCGTTGACGGTCGCGCTGGCAACCTTTAGGTCCACTTGTAGGCAGTGCATATGGATCAAGATCTGGGTGGGCATCGTCATCATTATCTGAATCATGGAGATCGCCATAAACACCAGGAGCGCGACAGGATACAAGAAGCATGTGAGCTTCACCATTGCTTTTCCTGTGGCCGTAGTCGACTGTGACGCTATCTTGCAGCCTGTTCGCCAAGGCAAAGACTATGCCCATCAGAATGTGGCTCACCACACGGGCAGCATGGTGTATCACCACATGGACCAGAAGACGATCACGATGTGACGAGAGGCGTACTCGTCTCTGCCGCCCACCTCGCAGCAGCTGCTGCGACCACCGTGCGCACGCAACAAGTGAGCTGCAGGTGCAGCAAGGAGGCCCATGACTCATGCGAGGGCTTGGGCCAACATGGATACGGGGGTTGCGATGATGGTGATGATAAAGGCTTCGCCTGCGCCGCCTATACGTTTTTGCTGTATATGATGTTCTTATACATACAATGTACTATAATGAAATATGTTATGACATAACAAAACACTATATACACATGTCGGTCTATTTACACACGTCGCGGACGTAGGCTCTCGGCTAGGGGAGCGCGCTCGCGAACCAGGTGCGACCGATGGCGCGGGCCAGCTGGGCCCACAGACGGGCGAGCGCGGCTGCCCCCGTGCCCCAGAGGGAGGGAAGGATGGACGGATGAAGGGAAGGAGGAGAAGGAGGAGGAGGGAGGGAGGGAGAAAGGAAGGAGGAGGAGGCGGAGGAAGAGGAGGAGGGAGGGAGGTAGGGAGGGAGGGAGGAGGAGGAGGCGGAGGCGGAGGCGGGGGCGGAGGAGGACGAGAAGAACCAGTGCAATCCCAACAGTCATCACGATGTTGGAATTATCCCTCCCTCCAAGCCCCCTCTTCATAGGCCCCTGCAACGGTTCATGTCCACCGAGGGACCTGCCCCGTTGGAAGACAACCGTTTGAAAAACCTTACGCATGCGAAACCATTGTTCTCATTGCTCCAACGCCACGGGTCAACCTGACTGTTGCGTCCTGAAGATCCTGAACCGCGCGAGAACACCGTGCTTGGGACTTCAACAGTGTATCCCTGATCGTGCAGTAAGGATGCAATAACACTTGGTATGTAATTACACTGATAACTACGTGTGGTAAACCAATGGAAATAATGAGAGACATGTGAAGCGCGTGCAAATGCATGGGGACAAACATCTCAGCGCTCATATACAAGCGCAAATGCACGTTGTCCTGCGCGGCGCGCGTTGCGCCGACGTCGCAGCGTCGCCGCATCATGCGTTGCCTCGCCCAGAGTGAGCACCATGAGGACCTGGCGGCCCTTCGGGGCAGGCCCTGGGAATCGCATTTCGGCACGCCCCTCAGGCGCCTCGTGGCCAGTGGATCCCGAGGCCCCCCAGCCAAGCCCTCAATGTAGCCACGATGATCGCGAGCCAAGGTTGCCCCCCCCCCCCCCCCCGCGGCCCATCCTCATCACCCGTCTCATCCTTCTGACCTCGCCGCAAGACCGCCCAACTTTGTCATCCATTCGGCCGCCCCCTCCGTTGTTTGCCCCCCCCTATCCGCCACTTGGCCCTTCGCCTCCCCCCGTTGCCCCCCCCCCCCCCCCCAACCCTGCCCGCGCAGGGCGGTCGGCCCTCGCCCCGATGAGCACTACCGTTCAAGGTTCCTGAGAGGAGCCATACGTCCGCGAGGAGGGGCACGGCCAGCGGGGGGGGCGAGGAGCAGCGAGAAGCGCGGGGGGATCCCCCCCCCTCATCCTCCTCTCCCTCCTCCTCCCGCTCGTCCTCCTCCTCCTCCTTTTCCTGCTCCTCCCCCTCGCCCTCCTGCTCATCCTCCGCATCGTGGACCTCCTCCTCCCCCTCCTTCTCCTCCGCCTCCTCCTCCTCCTATTCCTCCTCCCTCAGTCCTGTCCTCTCCTGTCGCCGTCGCGGCCGCGACGACGATGAGACACGCCGAGCCCTTCGATGAAAAGGGTGGCGTTGACCAGCGGTGATGCTGCCGACGGCAACGATGTTCCTCATGATGTTCCAGTGCGCGCCCAAACGGAATCGGTTGTCATTGCCGTCGCGCACGACCCCAGAACAGAAACGGCCTCTGCCCGCTCAGTCGCAGTCGATATTACTCTTGTTGGTGAGCCTCCGCACCTTCTTTTTCGGGCCACCATCCGGCACATCCGCCGCCGTCGCAGCAGTCGTAGCCGAACTCCCCTCGGAGCGCAAGTCGACGACGTCGATGCCGCTGACGCTGGAGCTCGCGGCACCGCTCGGGGAAGGCTGATCCGCGCCGAGGGCCTCGACCACTTTGGCCTGCATGGTCGGCGGCAGGCTCGACGCTGAAACCTTCCACGTCTGCTCAGCGTGCGCCACTTGCTGGGAAACCTTGATCTTCAGGACGTCGGGCTTCTCCTCCCGATACCTCATGAAACACGATGCCAGCAAGCACGTAGAGATAGATGTCGCCAGCACCTTCGCCTCGCTGTCGAGCTCCGCCAAGGTAGCCGCAAGCTTGACCATATTCTGGTATGTCCCGTCGTTCTCGCCCAGGAATTTCATGTGCGCCTTTGCCTTCGTAACGATGTTCGCCCACACGCTGATCTTCGACAGAAGCGCATCAACGCCGCTCATCAAGAACCGTTGGTCCTTGGTCCCCTCTCCAGCTACCCACATGCACTTAGTAAAATCCCACGTGCTGACCGACTCCAGGACGACCTTGAACTCTGCGTGGAAGTTCTCATTCAGAGACGTGCCCTCGTCCACCTTGGCCTGCATGGACTCGATGTGCGACTTCAGCTCCTTGGCAAAGGTGCCCTCATGCTTCGCCGCATCGTCCAACTTGTGGTAGGCGTTCGGGGCGGCGACTGCAGCGGCGCGGATGCCTTCCAAGATCTGGGCGACCTCCACGACGCCACCCAGGAACCTGGATTTCTTCAAGGCGCTCGCCGCATCATGGATCCTCGAAATCGACCTCGCTGCCGCCATTAAGTGTTTGGCTTCGGCTGGCAGCACGTTGCTGAGGGAATCGTACTCATGGAGAATAGCAAGGGCAAGTGGTGAGGCTGGGTCCCCGATGAACTCGCTGACCGTCATCGCGAAACCTCGACAGATGGCGTCGCTGGCGATGACCTTATTCACGAACACGTTGATCTCCTTGCCCGCGTCCATGGACATATCGGCGGCCTCCGGCACGCGGCGGAAACGGACGTATACGTCGCTCCACGAGTGCATGAACTGCTTGGCGTCGTCTGCGGTATTCACAAGAGTGTTCTCGAGGCCAATGACCGTCGCGAGAATGTCCGTGATGGCCTTCGCCTGGATGACCGTCGAGTTCGCCGACGTGTCGTAGTGCGCGAGGACGCCCATCGCCATCTTCAGCCATTCGAACATCGCGATGCCTTGGTCGTACACGGTGCCGTGAGGATCATCAGGTGCGGCTTCGGGCGCTTGCTGACGTTCGCGAGGGTTCGCGATGTCACCCATGATGACGTTGAGGTGGTCGGAATGGCGCAGACAATGATCCGCAAGAGTCAGAATGCAATTCACCATCTCGTTGCCCTGGTCCACGTCCTGTATCATATCTGGAGGGGGCTGACTATCTGTCCGCGCGCTCGCATACGACAAGTTGCCAAACAAGCAAATATCGTTCAAGAGGCGCTGGTCATCTGCAACGTCCAGCCACTTGTTGATGCCGTTGGCCCAATCGACGTTAGACTCTTCCTTAATGGAGTCCAGCACGTCCTGCACGGTCTTCCTCAAGCGCGTCACGGCGTCGGCGTCGGCGCACTCATTGCCAGCGCCCTGACTGTCCTCGTGGTGTTGCTCCATGACGCCCCAGGCTCGCCTCAAGTGGTTGCCGTGCTGACCTGGCACCCGCACCAAAGCCCTGACCCTGGCCGAGACCATCGCCTGATTATCAACAATGCTGACGTTCGCGGCCTTGACCCCTGGGCCGAATACGTTGGAACCTCCAAGCGTTTCCAGCACACGTGCAGCGGCAATTGTGAACGCAATGTCCACGGCGACTTGCCAACACCACTTTTCCCCCACGAGCCCATCTGACTCGAGTGACTTGAAGTCATCAAAGTTGCGAGGCAAGTCTGTCCCAAAGATCTCGTCGATTACCTTGGCAACGTGGATGATGGTGGACTCGTCTGGCTGGCGCCAAAGTTTCTCGAGGAATACCAACGTCAGCGCCCGCTGCGCCTTCTCAACACCTGGACAGAACCCAACCAGATTGAAGCCCACGGTCTCGGTGGGCACGCTCTTCTTGCACTGGATGGACTTCAGGAACGCGTTCAGGTTAAGAGAGTGCTGTTCCCGCGTCCCAATGGACTTATCTGCCACTTGCTGCATTGTCGACGTGAAGATGTTGATTATGAGATCGTCACCTGCGTCTTTGAACACCATCTCAATGACGGAGAACTCGCACCCGACAAGCTTGCCAAAGACTAAGTTAGCGAAGTCGCCTCGAAGACCGTCCAGAACGCGATGACGGGACTGCAAGAAGTCGGCACGATCCCACAGCTGCAGCGATAAGTTCTGGCACTTGTCGGAAGATATCAGAGCGCCGCACCTCCGCGCCATGGTCTGTAGCCTGCCTATGACGGTCTGGAAAGCTCGTTTAGTAGGGCGCTGGTTCCAGTGCTCCGCCAGGTTGAAGTCGTCAATGTAGGCGGTCGTCAGCTCGCCTGCAGCCTGGATCAGCGAGGCCTCATCATTACCACGGTGGCGGCGGCCATCCGTCGACTTCTTGGCTATGGGGACCTCGTCGTCGCCCTCCCGCTCGGTGCCGCCTGCCGCGCTGCTGCGCCCAGCGTCGAAGCTGCCTCGCATATTGCCCCGCGGCTGGTCGGCTTCAGCGACGTCCGTCGCAATGGATGCAGCATCGGAGCCGTCGTCGAGCCGCCTCTGCGCCAAGCTCCGCAAGCCGCCGGTGCACTCGGAGCGCGGCGTGGACGGCTGCACAGCCCTCGCTGCAGCCTGGGAGGAGGGCGGCGGGAGAGCAGAGAGATGAATGAGTGTGGCGCACAGCAGGCCCCTGCCGCGCTTCGACCGAGATCTTGCGATGCGCGACGGTGCTTCCGCTCGGTCTCCGTCGGGCGTCGCTAAATCGCAGTCGAGTCGATGCAGGGCCTGCTCGCGGAGGGCGGGATGGGGCCGTTGCGATGACCGACGGCCTGCGCACCCGCAGAAGCGCGCGCCGCCCCCTTCCGCAAAGCAGCGCGGGGCGTCGGGCCGAGCTTGCAGGCCGCAGAGATCCTCGTGGTGGTCCTTCATGCTGGCCTCGTCATTGTGAACCCTGGACTTGCGCTGCTCCGCCGACGTCTTGCAACCGCGCCTAAAGCGTTTCACGCCCTTGTGCTCGTCAGGGACCTCAACGCCAATCTCTCCATCGTCATCCTCGGCAACACGGTAGTGCGAATGCTTCGCCTCGATGTGCCGCGCGACTTCGTCCACCGAGTTGACGCCCTTCTTGAACGGGAGCTTGTGGTCCACCACGAAGTCCCATAGAGGAATCCAGCTGTCTTCAACGTAGTGCTGATCGAATTTGCTCTTGACATCGGTGACCTTGAGCGTGTACTTCGACAAGTCGACCTTCTCCTTGTCGCCCTTCGCGTGCTTCTCGAGGCCACCGACCTTGCGCTTCCGCAACTCAACCCACTTGACTTCCAGGTCGGCGTTCTGACTCTTCTTCTCGTTCAGTTCGGCCTGGGAGACGCCATCAAAGTTGTCCCTCCGCACGTCCGAGCACGGGTAGCATTCGTTGCCGCGCAACCTGTAGCCACCAACCGATGATTTGTCACGGCTCGTCTTGGTCCACGCCAAGAAAGCTGGCTCGTTTACGGCGTCCCTGTCGAGCTCGTGGGTCGTCTGCTCGCAGCTCAGGCACTGTTTCGGCGGCAAGTGCTTCCATTTGTTGGAGATCCTCTTCCCATTGATCATGACGGCGCCCCCCGCCGTGTTCTGCTGCTTGGAAGCCCCTGGAGCCATGCCCGAGAACTGACGCGGTCAGTCGGGCGCAGGCCGCAGGCCACTGGATGGCCTGCCTGCCACAAAAAACCGAGATGAGCGGCTGGAGACAGGAAGGAATGGCATGATGGGGACGCCCCCCCCCCCTCCAGCGGCGCGTCGAGGAGGGCGGCGAACCGCGGGGGGGAGTCTTGGACAGAAGGGGTGCCCCCTGAGCCCGCTGAGAATTTCTCAGAGACCCAACCGGTGGGGGGTCGCAAGAAACACCCCGTAACTCGCAGAACCCCTACCGCACTTCGCCGCCCCCCTGTCGGCGCGCGGCCGAATGCCCCTGGCACTCGAACTGCCTTGCGACGTCGGACGGCTTAGAAGAATCCGAGCCCCTGGAGGCCGCTTTTTAAAACCGAGCCCCTGGAGCCCCTATTCGCCGAAGTCAGTCTTGTGAGCGCGGCGCCTTCCTTTATCTCAACCTGCCCCGAGAACGACCAAGACACCTTGCGTGCTAATTGCCCTGGGGCTCGGTTTGCTGTCAACGTCTTCTTTTCGAGTCATCGGGGCTGAGCTCTCAGAGCCCCCCCTGCAAGGGCCAGCGCGGCCCGCCCCAGCCCCCCCGCGATCTTCCACTCCGCTCGAGAGCGAGCAGGGGGCACTGAACTGCTGTCTTGTAGGGCGTAAGTGCGGAGGGGGTGGGGCCTGAACTGCTGTCTTGTAGGGCGTAAGTGCGCCTGCAAACCCACGCCAAATCTCAACAACTGCACGGGTGGCGCATCGCCGAGGCGGCGCGCTTTGACGTGATTTCCCCCCCCCCCCCCTGCCCTGAAGTTCTGGCCCGCCCCCATCCTCGCGACGGAAGCGGCGACTGGGGCATCCAGCGAGGAGACGACGGCGACGGAGAACGACAATACCAATGAAATTAAGGAGACGCGCTTGTACCGCCCCGCAGGCGCGCGGCTCACCAGCGCAGCCCCCTGCCCCCGCGCCCCTTCACTTGTGGGTGTCTGTGTTTGTAGACGTGTTTATTGGTGTGTCTGTGTATTTGTCTGCGGGTGTCTGTGTGTGCCTGTGTGTGCCTGTGCTTCTCTGTGTGCGTCTCTGTGTGCCTCTGCGTGCCTGTGTGTGTGTGTGTCTCTGGGTGTCTCTGTGTGTCTCTGTCGGTATCCGTGCGTCGCTGTGTCTTTCCGTCTGTCTCTGTGTGTCTGTGTGTGCCGTTCTGTCCCTCTGTGTGCCTGCGTGTCTGTGCCTCTGTGAGTTTCTCCGTGTTTCTCTGTGCGTCTTTCTGTGTGTGCGTGTCTGCGTGCGTCTGTGCGCTTGTGTTCCTGGGGCCTCCCCTTGGGAGGAGGCTCTGACCCAAGGGGAGGTCGCACTCAAATTTCAGAGAGTGTTCTGGGAGGCCCCAGCCACGCCAGAAATTGCGCGCGACCTCCCCTTGGGAGGAGGCTCTGACCCAAGGGGAGGTCGCATTCAGATGTCGGCAGGGGCTCTGAAAGGCCCCAGCCCCAGAAATTGAGCGCGACCTCCCTTTGGGAGGGGGCTCTGGCCCAAGGAGAGGTCGCACTCAAATTTCAGAGAGTGCTCTGGGAGGCCCCAGCCACGCCAGAAATTGCACGCGACCTCCCCTTGGGGGGAGGCTCCGACCCAAGGGGAGGTCGCGTTCAAATTTCAGAGAATGCTCTGGGGGGCCCCAGCCACGGAGAGCGCACGCGGTCGGCCACGTGGGGCCACTTGGCGGCCCACGTGGTCTACAAGTGGTTCAAAATGGTTCAGGGGTCATTTTGAGCGAATTGTCTTTGAGCGAATTGTTCCTTCAGCTCCACTTGGGGGTGGGTGTTTGGGGGTCTTAAGAAACATGTTATACATGTGCCGTGCTATGCTATGCCTCGCGCACCGCAAAGCACGACGACGAACATGTAACAACTAACGCGGGCGCGCGGGCCCATCCGCTATCAACGCTGCAAGGCAATGCAACGCAGCGGCTAAGCTACACAATGCGACGCAACACACTGGCAGCAAATCATGCACACTACCTTCACGGGGCAAGTCGGGGCCCTCACCAAACGGGGATGGCCTCAGAATGCGCCAGGGAGTGGTTAACAAATCCTCTGGTGCGCCGAACGTACATATCTACAACGCGCGCGTGCGAAAGGCGCCCGAGACCGATGCCCCTCAACAGCTGGCAACGGAACTCCAGCCCCCCCACCCCCTCATCCCCCCCATCCTCCCTCTTCATCCCCCCCGCCCCCTCGTGCTCCTCATCCCCCCTCGCAGCCTGCGCTGACAGCGCTTATCCTCCGAGCTCTCGCGCGTTCGTTGCGCCGCGGCCCGAGCGACGCAGCCATGCGCGGGCGGCGCGCCAGGGCACGGAGAGCCTCATCTACCCAGAGAGCGGAGCGAGAAGTGGCGGGGAGGTGATGGGAGTGGGGGGGGGGGCATCAAGGCTGTTTTCAGAGGCCGACCTGGAAGCGAAGGCGTTCCGATCATCTCTGAGGCGAATCTGGAACTCTTCTGGGCTAATATTCGGGTTCTCGTCGGGACATATTGGGCTACTTTTGCGGCGCCCCTGTGGCCGCGCCAGGGTCGCGCTGGACCTCCCAGGCACGCGCTGGCCAAGGGCTTCTCTTGAAAGCGTTGGGGAAACCCTCAAGGCGATTCCACGATCGCCCTCAGGATGGCCCCGGGGGTGGCCGCTCCTGACTGCGACCACCCCTGGGGCCATCCTGGGTGCGTCTTGAGAGCCGTCTTGGAGCTTTCCCCGAGGGTGGCCCTTGGGTGGGGAGGGGCCCTTGGATGGGCCGTTTGAAGGGCGGCCCTTGGACGAGGGGAGGTCTCTTCTGGGGCGCGGCCCCAAGGGGGCCCCAACAGCGCCCCCTCCTTATCCAAGGACCACCCTGCAAATCCAGGGAGTCGGAGGTTGGCTGGCGGGCAACCGGCGGGCGGCTGCTTGCTCATCTAGTTCGGGACCGGAACCGAAGAGCCAGAGCTGGAGCTGGAAGTGGAAGGCTCGCCGCCCCCGCCGCCCTCGCCCTCGCCCGCGCCCTCGCCGCCGCTGTAGAAGGACGACGCCTCGAGGTCATCGGACCCCTGGTCGGAGATCCGCTTCATCGCGTGGTGCACCGCTGCCTTCACAACGAAGTGATCTGGCTTGGCCGTCACCTTGATGGCCCGCCCGCGAACCTGGGAGCGGATTATTCCTCCTCCCTCCTCCCGTCCCTGCTCCCTCCCCCCTCTTCCGGAGCAACCGAGTGGTGGCCTTCTCCCTCCCCTCCTCCGCCGCCTCTACCTCCTCCTCCCCCCCCCTCGCTCCTCCTCCTCCTCTTCATCACTCCTCCTCCTGCCTCCTCCTCCTCCCCCTCCTCCTCCTCCCCCTCCCCCTCCTCCTCCTCCTCCTCCTCCCCCTCCTCCTCCCCCCCCTCCTCCCTCGCAGAAAATCAGCGCCGCGAGTGGCGGTCCCTGAGGCAGGGGGGCCCAGCGCCGAGCTCCCAGGGCCAGACATCACATCCGCCCGGGGGCCACAATCTATATTTTGAGGCCCCAGCGTCGAGGCCTGAGCATTAGTTTCGCGCGGGCGCAAGGCAGTGGAGCCCCTTCGGGGCCGCCCGAATCTTAGTTTCGGGCGGGGGCAAAGAGCAGAACATACACGGTCTTCTTTGATGAAGCCGAGTGCTTGATGGCCTTCAGCTTGACCAACTCTGGGAAGATGAACACTTTCTTCGTGCGCAGCTGCTCAGTGCAAACCTTCGCCGTCGCCGACAGCACGCGGGAGACGGCGTCGACCGAAACCTCGGGAAAAGGGAGGGGCGGCGGCATGGCGGAGGTCCAGGGCGAGGGCTGACGTCGAGTTGCAGTTGAGCTCGGAACTCGGGGCCCCATGGCCTCATGGGGGGGGGGGGGGGCGGCGCGACGCCGACAATGCGTTCAAACGAGCTTTCGAACGATATCCCACCAAGGGGCCTTCTCACTAGGAAGGCCATCCCAGACACAGGGCGTGAGCTCTGAAATCGCCTTGATCAGCTCCGAACGGTTCATCGCATTGTGGCATGGCGACGGCCTCCGTGGTTGTGGCATGTTGTGGCATTGCTGCTGCTACTGGTGCTGCTGCCGCTGGCACGGGCGGCGCCTCCTGAACTTCTGCCTCTGCTGCTCCTGGCGCCGCTGCCTGGGGCCCCTGATCAACCGCAACTGGAAGCTCCGTTTCGAGCGACATGGCCCGCGGCCGCCGACGCGAGCCCCGATCGGGGGCCAGCGGGGAAGCGTGGGGAAGCGTGGGTCCGCTCGAAATCTCGATCCAGACCGACGGGCTATCGTCGTTGTCGTCGTCGAGGGGTCGGTCGGCCCCGAGACGCGCGGCATCTGTCACGCCGCTCGGACACCTCGAGAACGCACCAACTTCCAAACCGCACCCCTAGAATATTCGGAGTTCCTCGGGGCCAGCGCCGAGCGCACGCGAGCACAACTCGAGCACAACTGAGCACAACTGGCGGGGGCTCGCAAACCCTGTAAGTTTACATGGATTCTGCACACTTGTGCTCAACTTGTGCTCACTTGTGCTCAACTAGTGTTCACGCGTGCTCGGTCTTGGGGGCGCTGCGGAGGGGGTGGGGCCTGAACTGCTGACTTGTAGGGCGTAAGTGCGCTTGCAAACCCACACCAAATCTCAACAACTGCACGGGTGGCGCATCGCCGAGGCGGCGCGCTTTGACGTGATTTCACCCCCCCTGCCCTGGAGTTCTGGCCCGTCCCCATCCTCGTGACGGAAGCGGCGACTGGGGCATCCAGCGAGACGACGACGGCGACGGAGAACGACAAGACCCATGAAATTAAGGAGACGCGCTTGCACCGCTGCACAGGCGCGCGGCTCACCAGCGCGCCTGTGCAACGGTGCAAGCGCGTCTACCCAGCAAGACTTCCCCCTTGTGAACCTTCTACTTCCGTTTTCGTTGGGTCTACTCCAGCAAGCGGCAGGCTCTGTCTAAGAGAGCTTTCGTGCCGTCGTCGGCCCCGGCACGATGCCAAT